AGAAAAGTGTTTGATTTTTTGAGCAATAAAATGGGAAACATATATACCAATATCGAAGCTTGGTCTCCAAGAAAGACATGAAATGAGTTGTTTCGCAGCTTTTGTCACATGATCTCCTTTAACCTTCAAGAATCTCTCAACACACTCTCTGTTACAGAACTTCTCCTGTAAAAAAGGTTCTGTTTTTCATGAAAAGTTCGAAGCTTTGTTTATGAAAACATATGCAAATATTAGACGTACTTGTTTAAAAGTGAGTGGAGATTGTTTCTTGACCAAACGAAGAACAGCTTCGACTTTCTCGTCTTTCTTTATCATTTTCTTGATGAAGATCTCTAAAATCTCTCTGCTTTGTTTTAAAAGAACGAAGAAACAGAGGATGGTGATGAAGAAGGAAAAGAATATTGGATTTTTTGGGAGAGAAAGAAGCTGGGACAATGATTGTATTTGTGTGTTTGTGCCGCGAGCTTCTTCTTGTAGGAAAAAAAAAACTTTGTATCTCTCTCTCTCTCTCTATATGGAGAGAAAAACAGAGAGTGTGTGTGTGTTGTGTCTGAAAACGGCTTCTGCAAAAAACTTATGTTGGAGAGAAATTATTGGCTTGTTGATGACGCTGTTATGTCGTTTTGTGGACGTTAAATGTTTAAAAAGCTAAAGCCGTTGTGGCCGCCAGTGACGCCATCTAACGCCGTTAAGTGTCTCTCCTTGTGTAAAAATCAACTTTTTTAGCTTCTGTTTTCATTAATTAGTCAAATGTTTGTTTATTACTTAATCATTCTTTTTATATATAAAAACTTGATTAGAGTACTAATGAGTTGAGTTCTCTTGCTTTTTGATTCATCATTAGGGATGGAACTTGTAGATTGTAATAAAAATAGAATAAAAGGTTTTTATTAGTAACACCTAGTTCATATATAGTCAACGTCTATATTACCTAGCTCAAGTACTTCCAAAACGATCGACAGTGACGTTGGCCAATTAAATGCATTTTGCAGTAACAAGAGTTCTGAATTTCTGATCGATCAATTTTTATTTTCCCTATAACTCGGTAAGAATGACATAACAAATTCCACATATTTTTTCGTTGAAGCGAGAAAAGAAAACAAACGTTTTTTTTTATAAACAAACGTTAAAAGCGTGTCATTAACTTTGTGTTTGGAAACACTTGCTTATTTGAATAATCACTAATTATGTACATTCCAACAACGTGAAGGCGTCAACTAGATTTCAATTGAATCCCCTCTTTTTTATTTTTGAAAAACCAACATTTTGTGATTGAAATTGTTGATGTGACTAATTTTTACTATTCTTTTTACTCGTACTTCACATTTTCGACCATAGATGCAATGTATAGTTTCAGTTGCAAACTGTTGTACCCACGTCTGATTTCATCCAGTAAAAATAAAAACATCTTTTCAATAACCAGATCAATTTACCAAACTCCGCAAGATACTAGTTAATTACTTTTGGGGTTTAATAAAAGAACAGAAACACTCGTGATCTCACAGAGAAAAAGACCACATTTACATAATTAGTTTGTGAGATATTCATAAACTTATTTATTTTTACTGCATTACGTACTTATACGACTATGTAGGTTGATGATAGTCTTAGCTTATAAGAAAATAATATTAGCCTTCTCTGTACTATACTGTATGACTATCTAGCAGATTCAATTTTTTTGTTATTGCAATTTACTTTTACTTTGATACTTGAGTGTCCGAAATTTTGAGAAGTCTCTGTGTTATTTAACCCCTTAAAATCAAAATCAAATCACACGGAGTTAGATAGTCTGTATCATATTAATCATGATATTTTGAAAAATGAAAAGTAAATCTTCTTAGACTTTGAGACGTATTTTGTAAAAACCATATCAAAATATTACAGTTTCCTATATCTAATGTTCTAGACAAATTCTTGTCGGTGAATCTAGGTGGTGACAAAACGATACTCGTAGAAATTATTAAACTATATATTCTGATCTTATGTTTTAAAATTGATAACTTCAAAATTGGTTAGATATTATAAAATTTTAGATATAAATCCACATCTTAGTATATTTTTGGACTTGTTATCTTTGATATATTTATTCACTAAATTTTATTTAAAAGATATGTTGAAGATGCAAATTTGACCTACTTTCCGAAATTATATATGTATTCAAATTTTGAAATCTATATGTATCTAATTTTATTGCATCGATGGTCCTCACTGTTCCATATAACATTGTAGGAAGTGGTGGGGTTAAGGCAAAGTGATTATGTAATTATGATGCTTAATCATTAAGAAGAATTTAGGTAAGATGGTTCATTTTAAGAAGTTAACAAAAGAGAGAAAGAAAACTAGTTTTTTGATATCTAAAAACGATGAAAATGTTTTAGATGCTAGATTTTACTCTTTTGATATACAATTTAAAATGACAGGTCAGTAATGATTTAGCTATCAGCAATTTTATTTTTATGTAATGGAGATGGAATAATGATCAGAAAGGGTTTTTAACTCATGCCATCTCGCAGACGGGACAATTTAACTTAGTTAGGACTTTATTGGGCTTGCTCATCGTCTAACACATGTTTCTTTCGGGCTCGTACAATTCATTTTTCATTTGTTGGTCATACGACAATGCTTACACTTAAGACTTCAACCCAAAAAAAAAAAACATTGATCGATTTTAATTCACTTATTTAATTATTTTATGAGTTGGTAAAATATATTCAATTTATGGAAGGTTATTCGCAAATATTGAAATCATGGATTTTTAAAACACGAATAAATGGGGACGTGCCTTTAGTCAAGTGGTTAAGTCCATTTGACTCCGCCTTCCCCACCGAAGTTCGACTACACTATGTCGCGTTACCCCGCGTAGTAGGGATTGGCTATGGATCGGGTCTTGTCGATCCAAAGATGTAAAAAAAAAAAAAAACACGAATAAATATGCGTTACTTGCTTTTTGACGTTATTCGATGATACTGGTCTAGAGTTTTTTTACTATGTTGATTATGGCGTTGGAATCCATATTACATCTTGGACGTTCAGAAAGTTGGATTATTTGTCCACTTTTTCGAAGATCTAATGTGATGTCCATATAACTGGCAACAAGAATCTAATCCCAACACTTGCAAGTTACAATGTCATGAAATTATTCTGTAAATAAGAAAAATATTAGACATGACATTTTTTTAATAATTCTCAATTAACATTTTGTCGTAGGTAGAATACAAACAAGCCAACAAATAAAATTTTTGGTCTTACTTGATATTAAATATTTCTGAATGTTAAAACCAACAAGATACGTTACTAATCTTATAAGCATATCAAATCAATTCAAGATTAAGTCTCTCCTAAATCAAAGAAAGAGGAAGACTACTGAAACTAATGATTATGCAAAAAGTGTGTAATTTTTCGGTAGAGTCTTTAACTTGAGAAATTAAGTTCTTTATAATTTTTAATCACTAGTTCAAAAGAAGAAGAAGTTCCCTTGATTATACATATGAACTAATTGTTTTTTAACTACTCAAAATGCACCCTTGAAGTTTTTTTCTTACAAAAATGTTTCACAAAAATGGTGAGCTAATTACATTTGTGTATGTATGTGTGTGTATGAATGAGAAATGGTGGTATTGGTGAGATTGATTTTAAAGCAAGGAAAGAAAAAGGAGATTGACGACTTCTAAGGCACCCTAACATTACCACAGCTGTCTCTCCACATTTGTCATTTGCTTCCATATTTACTCTTTCTTCATTTTTATTTCAATTTTCTCAAGAAAAACTACTATCTTGAGAGGTTGGTCCAAATGGTGTAATTTGTCAAATTTGTAATTTACTGAGATTTTGGCCCACGCACTTCTTTTGCGGGTCCAACGGCCATATTAATTAAATAAACCATTTGATGCTCATTGGTTCATTGACCATTATTTTAGAATTTAAGTCTTAGAAATTATTAAATCATTTTTTTGGTCGTTTTTACATCATCATTAATATAAAACTAATTTTCTAATTAACTCTACAATATATAGTTATTAAATCCTTGTCGGCCAAAGGAGCTTAACAAAAAAATCATTATATGACATAAAGATACTAGATAGTCAAATAAATCTAAATACAATAAAATTATAGTATTTTTTTAAGTCAGTGGTAGGAATTTATGGGTTTTCACTTTTTTTATACCGAAAAAAAATTAGATTTAACAAATTTATTGTTTAAAATGATATGATCGTAAACACTGGTGATTTAGCAACTGTCATGTTCTCAAGAGTAAGATTTTGTACTTAAGCAATAAACCTATAAGAATATTTTCACCAATAGAAACAAAGAAAAAACAAGTAAAAAAAATCTCTAGAGAAGATAAAATTATACTTTTGTTAACACATCACACTATATTGGACTTGCGTGTGGACATATATAAGCAATGAAGCATAACAATAAGATTATATAAGGTGGCAAAACCATTCATATAAAATATATATAGAAAGAAGAAGTGTGAAGAGAAAACATGATAGGTGAAATGGGATTGTTCTTGAGGCACAAGTGAGCTTCAAAAGAGAGAAAAAGAGAGATGTTTGACAAACACCTAATACCAAAGAGACCCCATCACAATAAAACATTAAGCTACAGTTTCATCATTCTTCATCGATATTGCGTTATACTTCATCAAAACTCATAAACTACTACATTTAATCTAGATGGGATCCATGCGTCACGGTTAAAAGTATTTGTGAACTTATTTAATAATAAATTTGTAGAGTGAACCAAAAAAAAGAAAAGAAAAAAGAAAAAAAGAAAGATGGAGATGGTGGCTTGGGCCATACTTAATAAAAGGAACATCTAAAACACGTTGATGTGGCTGCCTGCATTCCTTATTATCCAAGGTGGAGCATCGTCATTGGCTGGCTTCTTGAGTTGGGTCCTTATATGTTATTTATATACATACTTCTATATCTACTATATATATAAAGATAGTGTAATTAATATTTCATATTTGCAAGAGCTAAGGCATTGTATAAGAAATGGGATGGCTCCATTCCTTCTTCTCTCCTTTGAAGAAACTATGGTTTAGCGTCAATTCTGCTCAAAAGAAGAGTACGATCTCTCTTTCTTTCTCTATTATGTATGTGTGTGTGTGTGTGGATCATATACTCTTTTGTTTTTGGTTCTATGGATCATATACTCTTTTTGATGGAAAACTATGAAAATGAGTTTTTTTTTGCTATATATGAACATATATCTATATATAAAATATGCATTTTTTAGAAAATATGCATTTTTTGGTTATACATACATATGCATTTCTTTGTGTTAATGTTGATAGATGGAAAATTTGCAGGAAGAGGGATATACATATTATATGAGGACGTCAAGTCATGTCCATACGAAGATGTGCAAGTTTTATGGTCTATACTCGTGGAGTCTCACCCACATACTTTGCAACTCAAACAATGATAAATCCATTTCATTACTCTCTTTTTGGTTCAGAGAGTTCATACTTCGAATGATCATGCTCGAGGTCGAAACGAAGAAGAAATTTCTTAATGGCATGATTCATATATCTGTTTTCTCTCCTCACTTAATGTACATATAATATAAACACAGAGACTCTCTTTCCCATATTGTTCTTGTTCTCTCTCTCTCGCGATTTGCAACTATATACATATATTTAGATGTATAGCGTATATACTATTCTCTCTTGAGGTCATATACTTCGTATGTATACATAGAGCCGTGGTTAATTAGACTTTTGAGGGGGTCATAGATGATTTTAAATTTACCCAATTATACATAAAAAATCTGATTATACAATAATAGAATGAAAAAGATGAAACTAATAATGATGAAAAATCTTAAAAACTTTTTTTAATGCTCATTAATTTTATTCAATGTTCAAACCTTTACTCATGTCACTAACTAAAATAAAAAACCGGGTTCTAATTTTATGCATAATGAGTGGGGCTTAAGACATTTGCCTTATTTGTACAAGGGTTAAGTTGTCATGGTTCTGTCGGTATACATAGATAGATTGCATTATTCGGGAAAATAATTAGATATGAGCATGATTGTCTATATGAAAATGTGCTATATATATCTATGATATGTCTGCGTAACAAAAAAGCAAGTAAACATATGTACCATAAGTTTTTTCTAATTGGTAGACATAAAAAGATAAAGTTTGATGGGAAAAGGAGAGCTAGTGAATAGAAGTTGGATTGTCGTGGACACTGTTGGCTTGTGTCGGTTGGGTTGACGTTAGTTGGAAAGTTGCGTTTGTTTTTCGTTTTGCGTTTCGTAGTCGTTTAAACTGAATGTTAAACTAGCATTTTTCTTTATATAAATTAAAACGGACAAACTAAGAAGAATGTTATGATTTAGACATTAGAGAGCCAAATTGAAACCTGTTCTAGCATAATGCTGCCACATTAAATGTTGAAAGTGGGGATTACACCAAACATTCGTTCCAGTTTCGGAAGTGTTTTTTTTTTTAAAGACCGTAGTAGCTATAAGCATTTTTATTGTTTTGGCGAAAAAACAAGCAAATGTTAGATAAAATTAAGTAGAAGAGAGTCGTTTTCTGCGACAAAAAAAATGAATATATGTAATTATATATGTGATAATAGTTAGATTCAAGCGAGACTTGCTTTATGGTTAGGGACATGTTTTTGGCAAATTGGTATCCAAAAAGTATCTCCTAGGACAAGTTTTCTTGATGAATTGCACTAAAAACGAGAATGCTTTGGCAGGATGGGTAAAGTTAACTAAACCTTCATGTTTCCATGTTTTTTAGAGCAATAATGATAAAGAATATATAACGACGACTAGTCTACGGCTCTACGCTAAGATACTAACATTGAACAAAGAAATACCAAACATGTTATCGAAAATGTGAAGTAGGAAGCAAATCCTCAGCAAGTAAAAGAGGTGTTTGCTCTCTGAAAATGAACATACTCGTACCAATCATATGATATATTGATATGGAGACAAAACAGGCAAATCCTTAAACAAATACTTCAGGAGCGTAATCAGCAGTGTCAAAATAAGAACTGTGATGGAATATAAAAAATCTAGGTCGGTCCAAAGTTATAACAGTACGTTTGAGGTGAGTTGCCGACAGCAAAGATGGTAGTATAACAGTTACATTAATTAAGATAGTCGCTAAAGACATTGAAGTTTGATCAGTGGAAAATTAAGATAGTCTCTAAACATTTATTTAATCGTATTTAAGGTACAATATTTGAGACTTGAGAGTTAAAAAGCTCTTTCGTAAAAAGAATATATAAATAGTGAAATCGATCGAGTCAATTCAACATGCAACTAGTAATTGATCTTCTAATTCCTTGATGTAGACCAAGATCTTTTGCTAAATCTTCAAAAAGAAAATGATTTAATATGAGTGCATAGATGAACTCTCCAGTTTCAGTGAAATTGAATGATGCAGTTATAATAAAATTTAATTAATATTTTTATAATTCATTAATTTGTCACAATAAAGTTTTTTTTTGTACAAATTTTTTAAAATATTTCTTGTCACAGATTATTTGATAAAATATATGTGGCTAAAAGATAGTCCCTAACTAAAATTTGCGGCCAATTTCTTGCACCAACACTAATCAATTCACTCATTTATATATCCTTGCACACGGATTAAAATTAGTATAGATAAATAGTTTAACTTACTGGTTAAGGGAGTAAACAAGGTTGACCGGTCCAGTTTTGGCAATCTGAGAGCTCCTTGTAAATTCTCTAGTTAAATCAATCAAACCAATAATTAGAGTTCACTTGCACTATTTTATTGGGAAATTGTTAAAAATACCCCTTTTGGTGTGTCCCTGACTTCAAGACATGTTAACAACTTTATTATCATGATATAGAAGGGTATAGGAACCTAAGAATGTGACTTGATCAACAAGTATTACCGGGAAGAAAATCAAAAATGGTCTTCTCTGGCGAATTTTCAAGGCTTCATCTGCTTCCACATATATGATCAGAGAGTCATGAATTCATATATATGAACTAAGAGGTTATAAGAAAAACTAAAACTGTACGTAAGGAAACTCACATAAATGAAGAGGAAATGAAATAAGAAGAAGAGGTGCCGGGGGCAGCTGTGGAAGGTGGTAAATGTGGTTTTGGCTGAACTTAGGTTATAAGTGCATGACAATTAGCCATGCAATTAGAAGTCTAATCCACTCCCATGCGTGTACTTGGCTTTAATTCTGTTTACTTCTTTTCTTAAAAATTTATGTTTCGATTTAAAGCTGAACACACGCGATTAACTTGCAAAATTGTGAAACTTGACCAAAATAAGGGTATAGAGATTTTAAAACCAGCCAAGTCAGCCTAGCCAAGGCTTAAACTGTCATCTTACAGTTTTTAGGAATTTATAAAATTATCCGAATGTTACTTTTTAAGACGTCAGAAATTTCTCATGCATATTGACTTGTACCAAACTTAAAATCCAATACTTAACCATTTAGAATTACATATCATGTCGTTCTTAATTTCTTATGGATGCTACACTCTCATAAGATGTCTACATTTTCCGGAAGGGCAACACATCTTGGTAGAAATGCATGAGGGAGATTGGGGAGCGAGCTCCCACATGAGGAAGAAGCCTAGCACGAAGGTTATTAATAGCATGATACGTATGGCCTTCATTTAGCTCAGACGCATCTTATGATTCTTACTATCACACAATAGTGCCATAAATGCCAATGTTTTGTTAACATCCCACATTGCCTTTAGAATACATGAAATCAAATCAGCTCGTTATGGGGCCTTTATGAAGTGAAGAAGACTAGACATCGTTGGGAATTTCCATATATTATGTGACCAAAAATCATTTGTATTGGTGGGAATGGGATGGTGGCCACCGACTACTTCAACCAATGGATTGAGGTAGAGTTGGTTCTGAGACTTGGAAGGCTACAAGCCAGCAAAAAAAAACATTAGCCTTTTTTTACAAATGTTATTTTAATTGGTAACATAAATTATTTCTAAAAGTACAAGCAACAATAATTTATCCTTGGTCTTGAAAACATGTTTGGAAGTTGGAATAAAGAGGCCTCCTAAAATACATAAACTCTCCACATGAATAGGTTTTCCTGTTTATCGTAAGGGACGAGTTCCCAAGAATGGACATATCAAACAATTTACAACAAGAAAACACTATTTTTTATTAGCCTTAAGGATGAGGACATTGATGCCACTAGAGATAGAAACAAGATCTACCAAGATGGATCTTTCTCTTAGCCGGAAGATAGAAAAAAAAAACCTTCGAAACTGAATTTTCGAGACGAAAAACGAATATTCATGTCTCTAAAATGTGTGCTATCAGACGTCCGTCTTCCATAATCTGATTTATCACACTAGTAGAGTAATCATAATCTGATTTATCACACTAAAAGAAAAATACATGTATTTCTCTTTTAGACATATCTATGTACCTAATCTTGACTTCACGAGATTAACAAAAAAAAAAAAAAAAAACAACAACTCAACAATCAATAATACATGAAGAAGATTACGACATTTGAAAAGTTAAACAATCTACAAGCTACAATTAATAATTCACATGCTAGTCAGTAGTCACTCTTTTCAATATAATCCATCTAGTTTCCATAACTATGAATCTATGATGATAACAAATTAAATTTTAAACTCGCAGAAATCATTTCTTTTGTCAATTTATTACAAAAATGTTTACATTTATCTAATAAATTCATGCTTAATTGGATAAACATTTCAATAGCTAGTATTCAAAAAAAATTTGGTGGTCATGTATATAACTTACAAACTCTTGATAGATTTTTTTTGTTGTTTCGCCTTTAAAGCAACATTTAGCTTTTCCAAATACAAAATTTTCACTTAGTAGTTTTATCAACATTTTCTTGAATATGAAAGATTACAAAATTAAACAAAAAGTAAAGAGTTATGGTTGGTCCAAATGTGTCTCTAACACCATCACCAAAAAAGAGAGACTGTGTTGCTGCCGTGACTCAGTTCCATGTGCTTCGCTTTCACTTTCTCACAACCCGTGACACTTAACTACTACACTACACGACAAAAACCAATACCACAAGTGTTCGATAATCCTACGACTTTTTTTTTTGTTCTTTTAATTTTGCATTTCCCTCGGTTATCACCGTACCGGTTTGGAACAACCCGGTTCTTGGAATTTAGCTTATCCAAAACCAATCACAGCTTCATAACAACGCATAGCTTATTTATGTGGTCTTAAATCCACATATTCTTTGTTCACACCTCTCAAGTTGCATAATATGCCCAAAATTTTCAAACATTTTTTTCTTTAAAATTCCACAAATATTAGTTGACCAGAAAATTCAAAAAATTTCTCCAAATGACGAATTTTTGTATAGTTCGTACAGATGGAAGTTGAAATTCGTTGAATGCCGTTTTCCTTACGTACGAATTGATTAGATAAACCGGAACAAAACCGGTATTTGTAAACCGACGCATGGTGTTGGTAAAGTGTGATTGGGTAAGAAGCCTAACTAGTTGTCTGATGATAATTGTCGTCACTAGGTGGGCACTTAAAGAAAAAAACACTTGTTTCCTTATATATTCTCCTTCCTTTGAACATTTAATCTTTTCCTCTTCTACCATCTCCACAAACTCCAAACATCTCTCTCTCTCACGAAATTGCAGAAGAAGAAGAAGAGTCATGAATGGTGAAGAAAGCTTTGTAGAAGATTGCTCTGTTTTTGTTGAGATTGATCCTTCTGGAAGATATGGAAGAGTAATGTTTCTTCTACAATCAAAGATTTTGACTTTTCGTATACCCAAAAGAGGATTTTTGATTTTGGTTTCTTGTTGTTTGTGTAGTACGATGAAGTACTTGGCAAAGGAGCTTCAAAGACAGTGTAATCGCATTCATCTTCTATCTTTGTCTTTCTTTAAAAAATTTACACTTTTTAATAAAAAATCAATCATTTTTTTTATTGTTTAATTAGTTTGGAATTGGTTACGTAAATCCAAACACTGTTCTTTGGTTTATAAAATTTCAGATACAGAGCGTTTGATGAGTATGAAGGGATTGAAGTAGCTTGGAACCAAGTAAAGCTTCGAAATTTCACAAGGAATCCTGAGGAATTAGAGAAGTTTTTCAGAGAGATTCATCTTCTCAAGACTTTGAATCATCAAAACATTATGAAATTCTACACTTCTTGGGTTGATACTAACAATTTATCAATCAATTTTGTCACTGAACTCTTCACCTCTGGTACTCTTAGACAGTAAGCAAATTCAATCTTATGTCTTTGTTATTTCTTTATGACTCATGGGTACTTGAAAGTTCAAATCTTTTAGATTTTTAGTTTTGCTCTGTTTTTTTTTTTGTGTAGGTATAGGTTGAGACATAGAAGAGTGAATATTAGAGCAGTGAAGCAATGGTGCAAGCAGATTTTAAAAGGGCTTCTTTATCTACATAGTCGTTCTCCACCAATTATTCATAGAGATCTTAAATGTGATAACATTTTTATCAATGGAAACCAAGGTGAAGTCAAGATCGGCGACCTTGGACTCGCTGCGATTCTTCGTAAATCACATGCTGTTCGTTGCGTTGGTACTTCAAAACTTTCACATTATTGGCTTTAATAATGTCTTGAACCACTTTGGACCTACCTTTACTATGTTGTGTGTTGTTAAAGGAACCCCTGAGTTTATGGCTCCAGAAGTGTATGATGAGGAATATAATGAGTTGGTTGATGTATATGCTTTTGGAATGTGTGTGTTGGAGATGGTTACTTTCGATTATCCTTATAGCGAATGTACTCACCCGGCACAAATCTACAAGAAAGTTACCTCGGTAAATGATCGCGGATATCGACATTTTAATCAAGATTTTCTTGTTCTTGAAGTCTTGTTTTTCTTACAATCTTTTATTTCAGGGGAAAAAGCCTGAAGCTTTTTACTTAGTGAAGGACCCTGAGGTTCGTGAGTTTGTTGAGAAGTGTTTAGCTACTGTGACCTGTAGGCTAACGGCATTGGAGCTTTTAGAAGACCATTTTCTACAAGAAGATAATGTGGATGGATTTGATATGAGACCTATTGATTACTACAATGGTTATGATGAAACTGGTGTGTTCCTTAGACAACCTTTGATTGATGATCCTCTTTACCATGATCAGTTTGAGTCGTCACAGATATGTGAGATCGATCTTTTCGCTAACGATGATGAAGACCATGTCGACATTTCGATTAAAGGGAAGAGAAACGGCAATGATGGGATATTCTTGAGGCTTAGAATCTCTGATGCTGAAGGTAAAGTTTCAATCATTTTCGGTAGGCTTAAGATCATTGGTCTTAAAACCGTAAAATGCTTTCGACTTTTATGTAATGCAGGACGGATAAGGAACATTTACTTCCCGTTTGAGACAGCTATTGATACTGCATGGAGTGTAGCGGCTGAGATGGTATCTGAGCTCCACATAACGAATCAAGATGTTGCGAAAATCGCAGAGATGATCGATGCAGAGATTGCTGCATTGGTCCCTGATTGGAAAACTGATGCAGAAAGTTCATCAAATGTGAACAACAACAACAACAACAACACTGCAGGATTCTGTGGAGATTGTGCTTCAAACGGGTATATACAAGAGACTGTATCATCAGGAGAAAAATCTCATCATCATCATCATGAGTTCGATAGTTCTGACGACAAGAGCTGTTCTTCGGTTCACGGTAGGTTTGCAGATATTTGGGGTTTGAGAGAATCATATTCTGATGATGGAGGAAAACAGAGCTCAAGGAAAGTCAGAAGTGGGCGGTGGTCGAAGAATGAGATGAGACGAGAACTGAGATGGCTTAAGGCAAGGCATAGGATTCAGCTTATGAAAGTAAGAGGTCAAACGATATGCGATACACCGATGGAGATCTCTGTCACGCCGGGAAATTCAGCTTCGCCGCCTCTTCTTTACAGGGCGATATCGCTTCCTGTGGATGCTGTGGATATGTGACATTGTAAAGTCTGATTATAGTTATCACATATATTTGTATGTTTCGACATTTTTAACTTTTGCTAAGTTAAAAGTTAATGACATAGTACTTATTCAAAGAGAAGAAGACTAAATGAAAGACATAAATTAGGCATTGTAAATTGTGAGACTAATCATCTAGGTTTTTCCTTTTGATGGCTCATAAGTCATATATATATATCTATCTCTCCTTGACTAACTCTTCATGTGCGATAAGTCTCGATATGTTTTGATCACATCGACGTTTTTCTAAACTGCTTTGTTGTTTCCTTTGGCCTCCTGCAGGTTTCTTGATTTGTACTAAACTTGGAACATAAGAGCACACAAGTGGGAAAAAGTATTTGTCATCAGGTTCTCCTAGATCCACTTCTTTAACGTATCCAGCCTCTCCCACGATGTGAACTGTGTCGCGATGATGCATCGGTCTATCAAAAATCATAGCAACTTTCTTCAGCTCGTCAATGAAAAAACTCCCTGCTGCATGTGAATCCAGAAGGTCAACATACATTTTCACTGTCAAGAACTTGCTCCACGACATCTTTTCGGCCTCAATCTTAGTCGTAATCCATACCTCAACAGTATCATAGTAACAAAATAAAACCGCAAGCTTCTCTTCTCTAACACAAGATAGAGTCACAAGGCTTGCACACCTATCTCTAATAAACGGCAAATACATAAGCGGACCGAATCTCTCACTTGTAAAATCAAAACAGATTATGTGATCAACACGCAAAGCGTTTGAGTTCCTTCTTATAGCACACCAGTAAGTGTTACCCTTGAGAGTAACACCATAGTTACGAAAACCACGGCAATAATTTAAACACCAGTGTGGAGTAACGTCAAGAGTCGTCCATAAATTAAAGTCAAAATCGTAGATTTCATACCGGCAATCGAATTGACGACCATCTATAAACCTCAAGATTTTGTGGCTGCGACTCTTATTATTGTATCCAAGAGCGTACATGTACCTGTCATATCTATCGGGTATTCGGAAAAAATATCTGGGTTCGATCCACCTTGTTTGTCCCAAATACGGATTCCAAACAACAAGACTACCCTTATCGTCTTTGATGACGCATAGTAACAAACCCTCGCAGTGAAAGACTTGAGATATCTTGACTTGTTCTGAATCATCGTATAGGCAAGTAAGTTTACCTTTTTGCTCTGCAGATGGATCAATGTCAATTCCATTGAAGAAGATGCTCACTGAACACAGATTGTTATCCATCAACACGATCATCCGAGACTCTCCTTCCTTTGCTGCTGCTTCTTCTTTCATAAGGCCTCGATTTTTGAATAAAGAGTCCCAATTTTTGCAAGTTAATCTCACTGCTCTCGTAGATGATGATGAAAGTTTAGAGATTATCTCATCTAACAACTCCATTGGAAGATGGGAGATTATCGCCGTCATCGTCATTTTTTTTTTTGAATGTAATGTTAAATTAGATTCAAAAGAAAAATAGCGTTTGTACAACTTGTGCAACTTATGCTAAAAAGAAAATCTGAAAAAAAGGTTTTCAAAAATCTTCTTAGTTTGATCCTCTTGATTCAAACCAGTCTTGGAGTCCCTTGTCATACCTTCGATCTCCACTCAGTTTGATTGCCGATAGTTGATTACGGATGTGAATGTCAATCCACTTGATTAGCCGGATTGCAGGGTTCGGTGTTGTGCCACGTTTGCGCCCATTGCGCTCTTTCCAAATGGTGTAGACTGAAGCTTGAAATACGGATCGCGCGAGGAACCAACTTGTACGATTCCGTCAGTTTATAGATACACTATTAATGATTGTGTGCCAGTCCGTGGAGTAGCTCTGCTTATAAATGTTTTTTGCCAAATTACCCCAGATTTCAGTGGTGTAGTCGCAGGCAAAGAAGATGTGGTCTCGACTTTCCTGCGCATTATTACAGAGGAGACAAGTTGCATCCACTCCCCTGTTCCATTGAAGCATCCTATCGCCCGTGGAGAGCCTGTTTTGGACTGCTAGCCACATACAAAAACTATGTTTTGGAGTAGCTTGTGCAAACCAAACCCCCATATACCAAGCAACCTTGTTTGAAGTTGTGTGAGTGTGATTCCATGTATCTTTGGTAGAGAAAATTAGCTGAAACACATTGTTTTTACCTTTCCAGAGAACACGATCTGTTTCTTGATTTCGGGTGCTCCATTTCAGGGCCAGCATCTCTTCGATCTGGTTTAATGGCTCCACACGATGTCTTCTTCTTCTACGATTTGTCCAGGCTTCCGAAACTGTGGCATTCTTACTGATCCCCATATCTATGACACCCCGATCACCTGCAATGTCTGCAAGACAGCCCATATCACACCAATCATCATACCAGAAAAAGGCCCGAGTCCCATTTTTTATTTCAACCTTACAAAGAAGCTTCGCTGTGTCTCTGCACTTAAGCATTTTTTTCCACATCCACGACCCAAGACATGTCGTTTCCTTAACTGCCCAAAAAGACACTTGCTTAAGCAAGAACTTGTAGACCCATTTAACCCACAGTGAGTCGCCATGAGAAACAATGCGCCATATCAGTTTCAAACAGCAAACATCATTGGCTTCTTTAAGAGAACGTAAACCGAGACCTCCCTCTTGCTTCGGTTTACAAACTTCTTCCCACGCTATCTTTGCTTTGGTTGTTTTCAGCTCGCCTCCGGACCATAGGAACGCAGAACACAATTTATCAATATCTCGTATGCATTTGCGAGGAAGACGAAAGGCTCCCATCCAAAAATTACATATACTCCAAAGAACCGAACTGATTAAGTTTAATCTCCCAGCATAAGAAAGAAACCACGAAGACCGAGATCCAATCTTTTTCTTTATTTGTTCAATTAATGGGAGATAATCTGAAGATGAAAGTCGTTTGGTGACTAGTTAAATATCAAATCTTTTATGTTCATTTTGATTGGTCATTTTTTTAAAGTTAATAATATATTTTCGTTTTTAATAATTAAATTAATTAAATTGCATAAATTAGTATTTGACTTGTTTATCCTTAATGAGCTGAATTAATTTACTCTTTAAATTTTTATCTCTAATGACATTATAATGTAATAACTTACACAGAGGATGGTTATTAAAGGGTAATTATAAATTGTACTCTCCAAATAATAGTATAGGATATTAATAGAATAACTAAAAGAATATCAAAATAAAATAGATAAAATTATCTAATGGTCTATTTAACTCTTATATTAATAAATAACTACTAAAATTATCTAAATTTAATATTAATAAAAATAATATATTGGTTAAGAAAATTGAGTTATTCTTCTATATTTAATTTATGAACTATTAAAAATAAGAAGAATTTCAAAAATGCCCATTTTTCCAGTACTACTTTTCAAGAATGCCCATTTATCTAAAGCCTTATCAAAAAATGCCACTAAAAACCTTGATTTACCCAAATACGTGTAATATCTTATTAAAAGCATACACAAACTATCTTTATATATGTGTAAAATCTTATAAATACTTTATAAATACCTTATAAGTACCTTGTAAATCTTACAAATACCTTGTAAAACCTTATAAAATAGTTTATACAACTTTATAAATACTTGGATCAAGTCTTCAAGTAGTAGTTATCATCCAGAACTACCTTCTAAACCTTAAAAGACTAATTAATCATGTACTTTTTTTGTACAACACTATGGTATATTTTTGTCGATTATGTTTGACTTTTTTCTCTTCTTTAACATACTTTTTTGAATTGAATTGCTTGTTTTGTCTATTACATGACCAATTTATTGTAAAAAGAATGTATTGTATCACCTAATACGCTAGACGTTGCGGTCCCAATTGTGTGTCGAGTCAGCCTTGAACAATCCCGCTGTTTACATTGGAATAAGTGCCTGGTTGATTGGTAAGAAGATATCCCAATTCACGAACATAACCTGCCAGTCTTCAGCTGTAAGCCAATCCTCCACCGACCTCATCAGGACATCTTGAACTTCTGTTAATTTTCTCACATCTAATTAGTATCTGGATCATTTAATGTCGAAATTGCTTAGAATTTATTGGTTTATACCTTGATTTCCGGTGATTTAATTTTGGAGATTGTATACCCGCCGCCGCACCCGCCGCCACATCCACCGCTGCCATTTTCAAGTTACAACGTCCGGTGAGAACTCGAGAGAGAGAGTTGTTTGTTTCTTTTAGATAGAGAGAGCTTTTTTTTTTTGCGATTGTTCTTAAGAAGCAAATATTTATCTTATTACTGAAATTTAAATTTTAAATTTCTCACACATGTGCACTCGTCTTTTCGATCTGTACGAAAATTTTCAAATTTCGAAATTTGCCGCCTCTCTTTTCGTTTGTGCTAATTAATTGGGCCTCATACGGCCCATTACTGTTTATTTTGTCTGCTTATTTTTTTGTCTTTATTTGTTGTGGGCTTTTTTCATTGGGCCATTTAAGATAATGAATCCCTTCAAAACAAGGAAACATTTTGGTAATACACTTCAAAAAATTTTGAACCCTTAAAATCTGATATCTTCTTCTTCGTTTTTTTTTTTTTTTTTTGAGATGTAATTATAACTCTACGATACCTTATTCCTATGCATAAACAAATGATAATTTTTTTTACGAAGACTGCTTAAGTGAATCATTTTTTTTTTTTTATTCTAAAGGTATGTTTCTAGTTTCGGTGGCTAGTAATTAGTTTTTTTTTTGTATTTTATTTTTACTCTAATTGGTGTTTAATCAGATTCTGCAAGTGTTATTTGTGTTTAGCAACTGTGACGTGTAGCCTAACGGCGTTGGAGCTTTTACAAGACCCTTTTCTACAAGAAGATAAAGTGGATGGATTTGATATGAGACCTATTGATTACTACAATGGTTATGATGAAACTGGTGTGTTCCTTAGACAACCTTTGATTGATGATCCTCTTCTTGAGGCTTAGAATCTCTGATGCTGAAGGTAAAGTTTCAATCTTTTTCGATAGTTTTAAGATCATTGGTCTTAACAAACTTTTATGTAATGCAGGACGGATAAGGAACATTTACTTCCCATTTGAGACAACTATTGATACTGCATGGAGTGTAGCGGCTGAGATGGTATCAGAGCTCGACATAACGAATCAAGATGTTGCGAAAATCGCAGAGATGATCGATGCAGAGATTGCTGCATTGGTCCCTGATTGGAAAACTGACCTAAGTTTGATCATCATACTCCTGTTAAATTGGCAGATTATGGTGGAAAGATGGCGGTTTTGTGGGACGAGATTGTGCCTTCTATTGTATATAGGAAGATAATATGGTGTGCGGTGATTGTGCTTGAAAGGCGCAACCGTAAAAGCGAAAAGATTTTAGAGAAGGTTGAGTGGTGTGATTTGGTGCTTGAAGTCCCTAGGTCAAGTCAGTTTGAGTATGCTATTGGTATTGTGGCTTGTGTTTTTAGGTGAATGCAATAGACATCAGCTCATTTGTCAAAAGCCTTTGACGGTTAGCTTATTTTTGGCTGTTAAGTGTCCTATGAAACACTGTTTTGGTTATATTGAAAGTTTCACTACCTTGGTATTTGTCTTATAGGCTTGAAAGTGATGGAATTATCTAATAATGCAGTACTATATATCATTATGTTTTGAATGTGTGTTCTTATGGTTTTGCTCTTTCTTTATTACGTGAGTGTGATGAATTATTGTCTCGTGTGTTTAGCACAACACAAAGTGACCCGGTTTGTGACTGCTACTGAAACAATGTCTTTGAAGTTTGAAGCACTTGGTGTTGTAGTTGTCATTTTCCAAGTGTCAAACCGGGTCAAACTCCATTTTGATTGTATGGGTCTCTCCATGGTTCGGGTTGGTTTCTTTACCTTGGTTGAGCCAAATCTAGTCAATACCAGATCATATTTGTCTTAGACCGGTTATAATAATAACTAACATACATCAAAATTTCAGTTAACCGAAAATGATCGAATTATTTATCGGTTCTAATGTACCGGTTTGGTTCGGTTATAAGTAAAGATTCTGAATTAGCTCAAAGGAGGAGAATCAAAGCGTCGTCAGTCTTCTTCTTTCCGCTGCCAACAAAATGGAGCTGTCGTCTGCATCCGCCATATTTGGCCACTCCTCCTCCGCCGTTCAGCTTCTCAGACCTAAGCTCGGGTTTATAGATTTACTTCCTCGTCGAGCAATAATCGTGTCTTCTGCTTCTATTCCTCGATTTTTGCGGATGGAATCTCAATCCTTCGCTTCTTCTCCCATTAAAAACGTTTCTCAGGCTACTTCTGCTTCTTCTTCCTCTATCGAATTAGGTTGGTTTTGGATCTAGATATGGCTGAGATTGAAGCTCATTGTTTTTTTTTATGTTTTCTTACTCAAAGTCGTCGTTTTTAATTCTCAATCAGCTCGAATTGGAGAAGTAAAGAGAGTAACAAAGGAAACGAATGTTTCAGTGAAGATTAATTTGGATGGCACTGGAGTTGCTGATAGTTGTACTGGAATTCCTTTTCTTGACCATATGTTAGATGCAAGTCTTTGCCTTTAAACCTTTTTGTCTTGGATTTTGCTTTCTTCAGTTTTCATTGGAAGAGAGCTTAAAACAGACGATTTTAGTGAATTATTAGAAGTTGGTTAATGTTTGTGTGTTTCACTCTTTGTCTGTCTTGGTTTAGCAACTTGCTTCACATGGATTGTTTGATGTGCACGTTAGAGCTACTGGTGATGTTCATATTGATGATCATCACACTAATGAAGATATAGCTCTTGCCATTGGAACAGTAAGTGTTGCCATCTTCTTTTCAGCCTTCTTATCGGCTCTTATGAGCTATGAGCAACCGTATGTTGTTTTCTCCTAAGGAAATTGTGTTGTGATGAGATCTCTGTGTTTGTTTATTCTCTAGGCTTTGTTAAAGGCCCTTGGTGAGCGTAAAGGGATTAACCGGTTTGGTGACTTCACCGCTCCTTTAGATGAAGCGCTTATACATGTTTCCTTGGTATAAAAATTGTGAAACTTTTGTTTGCATCTTGTTTATGTTCTCCTTACTGGATGTCTACCAAACTTTCTTACTGCTTATAGTGAACAAAAATTTCCTGCAGGACTTGTCTGGTCGACCATATCTTGGTTACAACTTGGAGATTCCAACCCAGAGAGTTGGAACTTATGACACTCAGGTTCTTTCTTCACTCCTGGATTTTTCCTCTTTTGGGTTTATTTGTGTTATTCCTTGTTTAGTAATCATTGAAAGTGTTGCTAAAATTTGTAAAACCTTTCTATATGTAGTTGGTGGAGCACTTCTTCCAGTCGTTGGTGAATACTTCTGGTATGACACTTCACATTCAGCAGGTACTTGTGATTCGAATCTTCAAAAAGCAAACAAGATCATACAATTTCATTAATTTCTTCTATGATCTGCTTGGCAAACTTTTCATGTCCGGTTTAATATTTTTTTTGATACTAACAGCTTGCTGGTGAAAACTCTCATCACATAATAGAGGCGACCTTTAAGGCCTTTGCCAGGGCTCTACGACAAGCAACAGAGGATGATCCACGTCGTGGTGGGACGATACCAAGGTTTGACTTATCCTCTTTTTCTTGAACTACATTCTACACACACACAAAGGATAGATAACATATACTAGAATGCAAGAGTCATTGCATACAAAAAAAAATAGAAGAGAAAATCGTGTATGTTAAAACGAAAAATTATTAATTCATACTTCTGTTTGAAAGTATATACTTTTTGTGGATCCGGAGGATGCATCTTTCTTGTCTTGAGAGATTAGTTTTCGGGATGTGAAGAATGTATATCATTGGAAAGCGCGTTTGATGCGTGATGGTTTTTGGTATTTGCAGTTCAAAAGGAGTCTTGTCACGATCTTGAGAGCTGAGCAAACACACAAGACAGTTCCCAAATTCATACTTCATTGTCGAGTTCCTGAACCATGGTCGATTTTCTTATGTTGCCAAATGCCAAGCCTGTTGGATCTTACTGTTCCATTGCAGAATCGCAAAGAGCAAAATGTGAAAATAGAGTGAAGATCACACAGTTCAGAATCTCTTACCATTGCTGTATCATCAACTGAGAAGTGAGAACTTACTGTGAGATAATCCAATGTTCTCTTTTTAGTTTTTACTATATTGACAAAAACGACTGCGTTTTGAATCTTAACATTTACATACAAAAAAACAAAAACAAAAACGACTGCGTTTGGCATCTTAACATTTACACCAAAAAAAAAAGAAGCAAAACGACTGCGTTTAAGAGTTTCCAGAGAATATTTCCCTCTCTCTTTGGACTTCAATGATTTTGATCTAATCCCTAATCTCTCTCTATATACTACTCTCTTCTTTGAAAACCTTCCCTTTACGATTTTTCCATAGCAGACACAGATTCCTTCTCAAGGTAGAAGAAGCAGATTCACGATCCCAAAACCCCAAGGCCATTGAAGATGGTCGGGAACAACAACAACAACGCCAAGTCATCGACGAACAAGCCTCCGGCAACTTCCGCTCCCACCGCTGCAGTTTCCTCTTCACAGAACCATAAACCTCGTTTGAATTCGACTAACAACGATGGTGGAACCAGTAACAACAACAAAAAAGAAAGCAAACCGACGACAGGTGGCCAGAAAATCGCCGATAAGAAACTTCCGAAGCCTAATTTTTCTCCTAAGCTAGCTCCGATTCCGAAACAATCCAATCAGAATCATCCAAATCCATCAGCTCCATCATCTTCACGGCCAATGGCTCCGTTTCCTTTCCCTGATTCATCTGCGGCGCTAGGTCCTCCTCCTCCACCGACGTATGGATTCCATATGCTTGAGCGGCGCACAATTGTTCTCGCTGATGGTAGTGTCCGTTCCTACTTCGCTCTTCCTCCTAATTACCAGGATTTTCCTCCTCAGAGTCGACTAGCTGGACCGGAATTTGGTAGATTCCCTCCCTTTTACCCGGAAGAGTTTCGAGATCAGCGGATGAAACGGAAATATCCGGGTGAAGAAGAGATTGATAGGAGAGACGAGAGAGCTGAGATGCTGAGACAAAGACAGCATTTTATGCAGTATGCGAATCCTAATGATCAATCACTTATGGCTGGTACGAGTAGTAGTCCGTTTCTTAGGGATGTTGGAGAAGATGGTAGAGCAGCTAAGCATATGCGGATAGGATCAAGTAGGCATGACAATGGAGGTCTATTGGTTGACCAGATTGCACTAAAGAAATCGTTTTTGAGTTTTGTTAAGCGAGTTTTCGAGGATCCGACAGAGAAGAAGAACTACTTGGAGAATGGGAGAAAAGGGCGGCTTCAGTGTCTCGTTTGTGGCAGGTTTGATGGGTTTCAATCTGACTTTTGTGTTTGTTTTTTGATTCAGTTTAGTTTGCTTGTGTTGGAGACTCTAGTTGCCTTGTTCTTGATGGTTTCTTTAATTGGTCTTATATGTCTTAGAACGCTAAATGAACATGAAGAAAGTAAGAGAGAACACTAATTTATATTGTCTTTACACCTGTATGATTAGTATGTTAACTTGTTCACAGTATTAAACTTATCTTGACATGCTTTAAGTGGTTGTGATTTTAGCAAAATGTGTTCAATTTGTGATAAGCTGCTGAATGGTGATTAGTATGTTAGCTTCCCATTGATTGTCTTCCTCTTTTACGATGTATTTATCATTACTGGAATTTTTGCTTTAATAATACTCTAACTTGCATATAAGTGTATACTATGACTGGGGTTCATTGCCTGTCGATAAGCCTCTTAGAATATTTAAGTTAACTGTTTTACTTAGATATTAGGTATCATTCAACTTAGTCCTTATTTTCTTTGTACCCACTGCTCCCGCGGCTACTTTTGTGCTGTTACTTTTTTGGCTGGCCTTAAAGCAGCAAAAGGTTGTGGGTTTTATACTGCAGTCTGTAGGCATTAGGGTTAAATTCTATTTTGATCCATAATAATTGGTATTATTTGTGGAACTAATCTTGCATCTCAATTGTTTTAATCTTCGTTCCACAGCTTATTCAATGTTTTTTTTTATGTCCCTCGTTATCCTTGCGTTATGCATGCATATTTTTATCTTCTGAATTCAATGTAATGGTATTTTTTCGCAGCTGTTTAGATTTAGCGTACTGATATATCTTTGTTAATTGGTTTTTGATGGTCATCCAACTTGCTTACTGTTTATCCTTCTTAGGATTACTCTTATTTTGAATAGATTATCAAATAAGTGGTTACTTTTCAGTTTTCCTAATCATCGTTCAGTTCTTTGGTATGTGTGGGTGACCTTCAAAATCAGCTCTCGATTATCAGTAGTAAGCCAACTTGGAATCTGAGTTGGGCATATTCTTTTTTCCGTTTTAATCTACCTGCTTATGGTCAGATCATGAAGTCTCTGCACCATGCATCTGGTATTGAGCGTATGCGTAGCATTCTTTACTCGTACTTGTGATTTTTAGAACTTTCTTCGTGAATCCAGCATGTTAAGTTGATCGACTTCTTGTTCATAACTCTTTAGGGGATTGAGATATCTAACTTTATATTTCTTTGTTCTAGCTTGATCTAATTAGATGGAGGTTGTCAATTAATTTGGCATGATGAGTAAATGGTCAATTTGATGACCATTTCAATCAATGTCAAGGATGCTAGGTTAATAGGCTTTAGTAGCAACTAGTCTATTTTGAATGATATTTTGTGTCACAGAATAAGCTTGTTTGGATGTAGAAAGCTTATGATAAAGTTCTCTAATTCATTCGTTTTCATCTTTCACATTCTTCAACTCTTCTGCTATGTTATGATGGTTACTCCTCATAATTGCGCAGAGGTTTATGTTTTTTTGTATGTTTATATGTTATCTGTGCATCACTTATTAGTTATTACCCCTAGTCTTAGCTTAAGTTTAGAATTGGATTATCTCATCTACATTTGATTCTTGTTGATTGCCTACTAAGCTGATATGTGGATGTGGCTTTGCACATTTAATCATGTAAGAGTGTATATTCAATAGTCTTTAGTGTCCACATTGAAGAGTCTTAACTGCATGATTCTGATTTGCTTGAGTTTAATACCTCAGACTTGTATGTGGTATTTGTATGGTGAATCTGAATGAGTGTTTCCAATTCGACTTATGCTAAAACACAGGCCTTCTAAAGACGTCCAGGATACACATAGTTTGGTAATGCACACATACTGTTCGGGTGATGCTAGCTCACGCGTGCATCACTTAGGCCTACACAAAGCTCTCTGTGTATTGATGGGATGGAATTTCTCGAAGGCTCCTGATAATTCAAAGGCATACCAGAATCTACCTGCTGAAGAGGCAGCAATCAATCAAGCCCAGCTGATTATTTGGCCACCTCATGTTATTGTTCATAACACCAGTACAGGGAAGGGTAAAGAAGGGCGCATGGAAGGCTTTGGAAACAAAACAATGGATAACAGAATTAGAGGTATAACATGCGGCCTTTCATTCCTTATTCTTGCGTTTACATACCTGCACAGAACAATCTGGAACAGTTCATGAATCTTGCATTGGTTAATCCGCACCTTAGGATTCTCTTCTCTCTTTTCCTTTTTTCTCCCCTCCATTTTAGAGATGTGCTTGTAAAGTACTAAAGTAGGTTATCTTAGTCAATTGGATTTAGACCCGGAGCCTTAGAGATGATTTCCGGATACAATAATCTTAATGATGTGGCATATCTATGTTATCCCTGACTTTTTGCCACAATGATCATCTCCTTGATCTTTTAGAAGTAAGGTCAAGGTCCAAATCCCTCTCTTTGTTCTGCTAACACTAGATAGATGCCCAAACAGGTATTTTTAAGTAAGAGTCTGGAAACTAACATGATTCAATTATCATCTGACATACCTTCTCAGTAAAAGCCTTCACTTTACTTACACCCCTTCCCATTTCTCTCCCATGTTTCTCTGTGATTTTGTGAATCAAAAGTTGCTATTACTTAGCGTAGAATAATTACAATATCAGATCTAGGCAACAATGGTGTAAGAAGTATCTAAGCTTCTTTAACAGAACTTTGTTGGGCCACCATCTTCTCCAGTCTTTTCTCTAGGGATCTCAGCTTCTATTTTCAGAACTTGTGGTGTGTCATAGTAGGTTCCAAAATGTTCAATGTGGTTAGGCTAATGATGGGTGTGCAAGTACATGTATCTAGTTATTAGCCTATATCATGTAACAACACTCAATGACACATTTTGTCTGCCTTCATTTTGATGTCTATATATAATTACAGAACTAGGACTCACTGGTGGGAAATCAAAGTCACTGTATGGAAGAGAGGGTCATTTGGGAATTACATTGTTCAAGTTTGCGGGAGACGATTCAGGGCTCAGGGAAGCTATGAGAATGGCAGAATATTTTGAGAAGATAAACCGTGGGCGTAAGAGTTGGGGGAGGGTACAAACACGCACTCCTAGCAAAGATGATGAGAAAAACCCTAGTCTTGTCGAGGTTGATGGGAGGACGGGTGAGAAAAAGAGGATCTTTTATGGTTATCTTGCGACTGTAACGGACTTGGACAAAGTCGATATGGATACAAGGAAGAAGACCACAATCGAGAGCCTTAGAGAACTCACAGGAAAAAAGTAAATTATAGGTCTCTCTTCCCACAAAAGGTACACTTTACTTTCGAGGTATTTGTTGCCTATTGAATCTGGATTCTTAGTCGCAAGCTCAAAAACTTGAAAGGAGGAAAGAAAAGTTTGGTGTGTTTTTTTTTTTCATAATTTATAGATGAATGTCTTGGTCTCTTTGATCCTTTGTTTCGGTGTTCATATTGCATAGACTAATATCGGTTGAACCTGATATATACAAGCTTCTCTTTACCAACACCCTTAGAAGTATATTGTGTTAGTTGCTTGATGCTTTTGATGTCCCTGTTGATTCTTTTATGTTCGTTCTTCTTTCCTTGTTCTATGTGATCCTTTGGAATAGTGGTTCCTGCTTGCTCTTTAGGCTTTAGCCAGCCAAAGAAAGGGTTTGTTGCTCACTGACATGCCTATCAAAATGAGAGTATTAAACCAACCAAACAATGATACCTTAGTGCCTTTGTACTGATGTCTATGACATTGAGTTAGTGTTTTTGTTTGCTCTCTGGTACCTTTGTGTTTTTGGGTACCTTAGATTGGTGATAACAATGGTGGTGTTTAGTTTAGCTAGGTAGCTTCTACTTTTTAAAAAATTAAAAATTGGTATGAAAACAAAAAAACATCAGATAAGAAGACTTGTATTTTGTGGGGCTTTGGAACTAACCACTACATAAATTTTGTTTAGTCTTTATTTATGACTGTTTTAAACTTTTAATTGACAAGTTAGGTATAAAGTGTTCTGACAAACTTTATTTCCTGTATTCATTCAAATCTTTGGTTCTCTCTGGCTTACCAATATACACGTTTGGTTAAGGAAGTTTAATCAGCTGCTGTTTAGGCCGTATGATAAAGAAACCTTAATAACTTTTTTATGAAAGTAATCAAGCACTATCATTATTGGTGGATATTAAATTTTCACCATTTTATTGTTTAATGTTAATATAACATATATGATCATAGTTTGGCCACTATCACAACAACTAGAATATAATTTTATGAATGTACAATATGTAGGACAAAGTAGTTTACATGCACTATAAGAATAAAACACCATTAAAAAGCATCTAGATTGTGCAATTGTCATAATCATATTACTATAAGACTAGCTAGACTAAGGTCAAATCAATGCATAAATTTAAATCATTATTCTCCCTTCACATTTTCAAATTTCTCTCCTCACTTTTCCTATAAAGCGTAAACAGTAATCGGCGGTTAATTTGTAGTCGGCCATTTCGGACCCATTTAATTATATAAATAAGTCTTAGCCGTCAGTTTCATATTTCGTCTCATTCTAATTTTGTAATGTTTAACCTTTTTATAATTATAAAATGATACTCTAATAGCAAGAGGTCTAAAAGAGTAGGGATATTTTCCCTCAATAATGGGTTATATGTCACTGTCCCGCTTAACATTTTCTACATATCCACAGAAAAAAGGTTTGTATGATTCCAATGATGTCAAAAAAGCAATAGCTTTAATAAAACCAAATTCAAAATTTCGTTTTTATTCTATTCTTCTGTTTTGATATCACAAAGATATTAAAACATAGTACGAAGATTAGTTTTATATATGTACTAATGAATATTCTTTGTGGTTGCTTCATTATCACGTCTTAAGATTTATCACGCGTGCCCTGATTTCATTACAGCCTTTTCTTCAAAACACATGCATTGTTCTTCTTACATTATACTACTACACAAAGAATTTCATATTAGTTATAACAAACATTTTTTTTTATATACTATATAGTTTTTATTATTCAATTTCGTGTGTTTATAAATTTTACCGGCAATGCTTCACTGGTTTCCGACTCAACGCATGTGGTGGTCAGTGGGCTTGGCCCACTTATCTCTTTCACCTTTTTTTTCTTCTTTATACGAAAATAAAGCAAAGCCTAGTAGTAATACTTATTATTACCACGTCATCACCCAACTCTAGTATCCTACGCATATCACGATAACCTACGCGTCGACGGCGCAATATAGAAGAGGATGTAATAATCGCGCCTTTAATCAGACTCCACTGAGACGTGTCGCTGTTTCGAGTTGTCCACGTCACTGTTTCTTTTGTCTCTTATCTTCTTCTTCGTCTCTTTACTTTTTCCCCATTTCTAGGGTTTCTTCAATTTCACTCTCTCTCTCTCTCTCTCTCTCTTGAGTTTGTTCTTCTCTGTATCAATCAAATCGACGGAGTTTGAGCTTTTTTAGATTCCGGCGATGGGGTCAGTCCCCGATCCAGGCGAGTTGACTGAGTTAGCTCAGCCGAGTTTCGAGGAGTTTCAGAAACAGACGTCGTTGATGACAAGCTGTACTCTTCTATGGCAAGAGCTCTCCGATCACTTCACTTCTTTAGAGCAGAATCTGATGAAGAAATCTGAAGCGTTGAAGCAGATGATTGAAACGCTAGACAATCAGACTCAGACCTCGCTTGAGTCTCTGAAGCGTAGAGAGGTAACAATCGACCATAGCGTTGAGATCGTAGCTGGGAAAGTTGGGGAACGAGCTAGAGCTGCTCTTGAATCGTTAGAGAAAGCTAGAGATGGTGGTGATGGTTCTAATGATGATTCCGGTGAGGTTGACGATGAAGAAGGGCTTCTCTCTGCGTTGAAATCTCTATGTCTTAAAATGGATGCGAGAGGGTTTTGGAACTTTGTGACGGCGAGAAAGAAGGAATTGGAGAATCTCCGGTCAAAAATTCCGGCGGCGTTGGTTGATTGTGTAGATCCGGCGATGTTAGTGCTTGAAGCGATATCTGAGGTTTTTCCGGTGGATAAAAGAGGAGATAAAGTGAGCAATGATTATGGATGGGCTTGTGTTGTGATTCTAGAGAGTTTAACACCTGTAATGGTTGATCCAGTGATTGGGAAATCGAGGTTGCTTGTTACTCCGAGCGTTAAGGAGAAGGCTAAGGAGATAGCTGAGACGTGGAAGGCGAGCTTGGAAGAGAGAGGAAGGATAGAAAATGTGAAGACTCCTGATGTGCATACGTTTCTGCAGCACCTTGTTACATTTGGAATTGTTAAAAGTGAAGATCTTGCTTTGTATAGAAAGCTTGTCGTTGGATCTGCGTGGCGTAAACAGATGCCTAAGCTTGCTGTTTCTGTTGGTTTGGGTGATCAAATGCCTGGTAAGCCTAAAGCTTTAATCTTTTACCTTTTGGTTTTGATCCTGGCAAGCTCATTGTGACTAGTGAGGTCATATTTTGCAGATGTATAGTTTTCGTAGGGTACAAATAGTTTACGGGTTGATAAGCGAATTTTAAAGTTGCGTGGAGAATTTCTGGCAAACGTTGTATTGTATGGTATAGATTGTGGTGTTATTGACTAGAACTGACCATAGGCTGTGTGAAGTTGAAGCCTTTTACTCTGTATCTCGTTATTTAATATCTGAGCTTACGAGTTGTTGTGCTGTCCACAGACATGATTGAAGAATTAATCAGCAGGGGACAACAGCTTGATGCTGTTCATTTTACTTATGAAGTTGGCCTTGTGGATAAGTTTCCTCCTGTTCCTTTGCTCAAAGCTTATCTAAGGGACGCAAAGAAGTCAGCAGCATCTATCATGGAGGAATCTAGCAATACTGGCCGACCTACGGTATCTACTCATTTCGTAGCATCTAATCATTTCTGTCCCTACTAAACATTTTTATTTGTGAATCTCTAATATTGAATGTCTTCCTCTTGCTAAGCATCTCGTGGCGCGCAAGGAGCAATCAGCACTTAAGGCGGTCTTGAAATGCATAGAAGAGTACAAACTCGAGGAAGAATTCCCTCCAGAGAACCTCAAGAAGCGGTTGGATCAGCTAGAGAAGACCAAAACCGAGAAGAGAAAACCAGCAGCTGTTCCCGCAAACAAGAGAACCCGAGCAAGCTACAACGGTCCAATGCCACCAGCCAAAGCCGGGCGTATCACAAACGCATACGTCTCTTCCTTCCCTTTCATCAGATCACCCTCTCACTCTCCTCAATACGCTTCACCAGCAGCTTACCCATCCCCACCTACAACAGTCTACAGCAACAGAAGCCCACCTTATCCATACTCTCCCGAAATCATCCCAGGCTCATACCAAGGCTCTCCTATCGGTTACCCAGCATACAACGGTTATTGCAATGGTCCAGTTCCTGCTCCAGCTCCTCCGGTTTACCACCCGCACCATCATCAACACCACCAATTCCACCCTCAGCAACATTACTACTGAATTAGAGACAGTGTGACAACAAAACAAGAAGGAAGAAGATGAGTGTAATAACCAAACAATCACTGATACTGTGACAACTGCTACTACTCCGGTGTTCTCTCTGGGTCTATTGTCTTTCTACGTCGTCGTTTTTGTCTGTAATATCTCTTCTCAGACCTAACAGTCTCTTTCTCTCTTAGTAACTTAGCTATATCTCCTCTGGTGTGTTTATTAATCACATATAAAAAAAACGCAAGCTTTTGTAATGTCTAATATTCAGTCAACAAACCTATCTTTCTCTTAATCAAATGACAAACTTCTCTGTCACAAACTTCTCCGATCTCTGTCTTCTTCACTCAGTTCTGTCTCTGATCATACATAATTCTAAACATTGGAACAAGACAACTGCATTTCTTCTTCATTGAACAAAGTGGTGACTCAATTTCGGTACAAGATACAAAGCCAGTGGTGAGAACATTCTCTTTATCAACCTTGCACACCAGGTGTTCGATGATTTGTCTCTGTGAAAATTCCGTTTGATTTTTCACTTACGTTTTTAGAATTGGTCTCTTTTCCTTCAATGGCTTTGATGGTTTTAAGGAGAAAGTGTATCCGTATGCCGGATATCACCTCTGTTTTTCGACCTGCACGGAATTGTTTCTCCTCGAGATTTTCCAACAGTGAAAGTGGAAAGGATACAGTGGCTGGTTTGAGTGGTTGTGGTATAGAAACTGTGGATGATGATGCTTGGCATGTCTCATCATCTTTATCTCAAGCTTGGAGACAGTTCCAAGCAGACACTGCAAAAAACTCTCCCGTTACAATACAAGGAGTAAGAGAAACAATGCTCGATGATGAAGATCCTGATCATGATGAAATCGATAATATGAGAATTCGCGGTGATCTTTTCTACAAGCTTGATCGAGGTTCAAAAGAATTCGAGGAATACAACTACGACTTCCACCGCAAGAATCAACACAAGAACGTTAAGAGAGAGCAAAACCAAGAAGAAGAAACAACGATGAAGAAGAATAATAAGAAGGAAGTTCGTGAGGAATACAAGAAGAGAAACGAGCCGACGATTAACTCATTTACCGGTGAAACAGATCATCCTAATGCAGCTGTGAGGAAGAGAGAAAGAACGTTTACGTTTAACCAACTCACGGCGCCTTTTCACTACCCGTTTTGCTTAGACATATACATCTCGAAGGAGTCTGTTCGAGCATGTGTGATTCACAGGGTGACTAGTAAAGTTGTCACTGTAGCTCATTCCATTTCGAAAGACATGAAATTCGATCTTGGTTCCACTAGAAACGCTGCAGCTTGCGCTGCGGTTGGGGCAGTCCTTGCTCAAAGATGTTTGGAGGATGATATACATGACGTTATATACACTCCTAGGAAAGGAGATAAAATCGAAGGTAAGCTTCAGGTTGTGCTTCAAGCTCTTATTGATAATGGTGTTTATGTTAAAGTGAAGCTAAAGCAAAGGAAACTCAAGAAGAAGACTAGTCATCTAATGATGGCCTAGAGGACTGGAATTTTCTATTTTGTTTGTTTGGTGAATCTTTGTTTGGGACTTGGGGTTTTCAATACAAGTAAAAAGATTTCACATTTGTGCTTCCGGTTTTTGAATTGTTTGAGACAAAGGAATTTATGTTTATTTCTTCCAGTGAAATTTTTGTTGTATATTTGTGGTGAAAATTTCCCTTTTTGCTCCATTTTCATTAATACTTGAAATCCCAAATAAATTTGTCTGCATGAAAATCTGTATTGAAATTTGGAGATAAACTTTTGTGCAGAATATACATGCAATCCCATATATTATCTAAAAATTAAAAAAGGTTCATTATGAGAACAATTTTGGGATTCAATATATAAAAAGAAAAGAAAAATAGTATTTTACAATTGTTTTCATAATGGAATAATACTAAATGGGATTGATTGTGGATTTGGACTTGCCCAATTAAACTTTGTATCGTAACTACTATAAATCCATGAAAAAAAAGATACTGTTGCAAATAAAAATAGTTACTGTTGGGCCATGTACTTCAGAATTCAGATGACTTTCTATGTATCCATTTATATGGAATTTCCCTAGATTTTTGACAAAAAAAAAAAGGTTATAATCTTCATTGAACGTCATCAAGGATCACCATCTTGGTTTGGAGGTATTTCAGTGCAAAGAAAATCACTTTTTTCCTTTTTCAAATTTCAATTATCAGAATCAAGATTACATCATTAGTAATAGTAACTAAGCAACACACATCACGACCAAGCCAACATTTAGAATAAGCTTACATTTGACTAAGTCAACATGAATAAGAAGTTCACATAATGTGATTCATAGCATAAAACAAAAACTTCTTCTAACGCCTTCTCATTGTAATGCTCCATCGAAACGATTTTGCATAAATCGCATATGTCATACTAGCCATAACAGGAATGATGGTTTGGTCAAGGTTGTGCAATAAGGAGGAATGCCAGTGTGTGTGATTGCCACTCTAGTATCATTAGGTAAAGAGACATTTACCCTAGAAACTGAAACAGTTTCACTAAAAAAAGACATGTCAGAACAAACATGGCTTATGGCACCACTATCAATTATCCAAGAACAGTTTATAGCTTATTGCATATACAGAGACATCTTTATCAAGCGTATAACCAATGATGAACCAATAAAAATAAGCATTTACTTTACCAGCTATATCATCAGGGAGATTAAGATAAATCAAAAAATTCAAACTGTCGGATATTATCCTCAAACATAAGAACAATATGAAAGAATAGATTCAAGCCCCGATAATAATCTATTGTACGACAATAAGCTAGAAAATGACTTTTCAACCCACACACAAGACAAGTGTGCTTGGCACAAACAAAACAGGATATGTACATTGAACAGATCCAAATGACCACGACAATTGAAACAACTCATCTACATAAAACGAGGTAATATAAAAACTCAAAAAGAGAGATGAAAATCACTTTGTAACCACTCAAATCAACTCTGGGAACTCCAAACACTTTAGTGAGTATAACGCAGTTCAACCGTAAATGCATAGCAAACATGCCTCGGTCTCACGTTTGCTAATCCTCTTCCTAACCGCAAACTATGCTAATTGCATTTACTAAATCTGAAGATGCAAATGCCTATCAGAGAAGATGATTAACTGATTTCATACAAAACCATGATACTCTCGAAATGCCAGTTTTTACTCATCATTGCTTATTCGATTAAAGATAAAAAAAAACAGATAATAGTGATTGTATGTACTAGAATGAAGAATAGGAGATAATATATGTCTACTCGTCATTTCGTTTAAGGAGATATGTTTAAAGGGAAAATTCCCAAAAAAAACCCAAAGTAATTTTTATTTGGACGTTTAATGCCCAATTATTTTTGATTGGAATAAAGATACCTCAACTAATTATTCGTGGTCATAAAATACTTTGTATATAAATTATTGGTATAATCAAACCTGCACATTAACAGCCGTTAACGGACGTAAAGGAATTAACTAACGGCGTTAAATATTAAACTCAAATATGTTAATTAATATATACAATCGTTTAACAAGGTTATGTGAATAAGTTGTTGTGGTCTATTGTTAAACGGAAAGTTGTAAGCTTGGGTTCGAGTTGTCCTCATAGCTAATTTTGTCTTCCTTTTTTTTTTTTTTTTTTTCTCTTCTTCTTCTTCTCTTCTTCGCCTTCCTCATATCTGAAAATTGGGAATTCAAATTCAAATAGCTACAATTGGAGGTTGATTTCGAGGCTGGGAATTCTTAATTATTCTCTATCAACAATCGTGAAACCTTCATTAAATGTAAAATATGATACAGAGAAAGCTTAAATACTAAGAGAGATAACCTACTATAAACATGATAGATAACCAAAGATAATCACACTATATTCAACACTAAACCGGAGAGATATAATCTCTAATATCCTCCTCTGCGATTAGGGATGAGAGGTTTAGGGTTTGTAAAGGCTTGGTGAGTGAAATGATGGTTGGAGATACGAGGGTGATGGTTGATGGTGTGGGTGTACCGATTTGTTACTCGATTTGGAAGAGGAATTGGAGGTTCTTATTCATGGGTTGGATGAAGTATTATTTTTGGGACGGTGGTGGTCAACGACGGGGAAGGAGAGTAAAAAAAAAAAAACCAGAGATCAGCAAAGGAGAAGAAGAGAAAAAAAAAAAAAATTAACTTCACTGGAATCGAACTCGGGTCGTGTATATTGAGTAAGCCGCACTATTCCACTGGACCACGTTAAAATCTTCGTATATTATAAGAGCAGATTATATATATATAGATTAAGTTATATGAGAATGATATTTAACGCCGTTAGTTAATTCTTTTACGGCCGTTAACGACTGTTAACGTACGGGTTTGATTCTACCAATAGTTTATATACGAAGTATTTTATGACCACGAATAATTAGTTGAGGTATTTTTATTTCAATAAAAATAATTGGACATTAAACGTTCAAATAAAAATTACTTTGGGTTTTTTTTTGGAATTTTCCCTATGTTTAAAACCAAATTAGACACAATGGTTTAAAAGGGGGCCTAGAAGATATGTTTCTGTTTCTCTCTGTGGGGCCCGAAGAGTTATCCGTTTCATTTCTCTGTTTATTATCGGTCAAAGTGTTGACTTTCTTGCAATGGTATCATCATCGTTTCTTATACGTAACTTCTCTGCTCTTCCATAGCCGATCGACCTTTGTTCACGATTCACCATTGATCTTTACTTGCTTGATCGATTTGTTTTCAGATATTGATTATTTTTGTAGGTTTACTCTAAAATTGGTGATATATCATGGTTTTTGTTTATTCATCTGGAAATTTTATTATGAAATGAAAATTTTGAATTCGTTTGTTTTTTGTTTTTTTCTTAAAGTTGAAGTTTGATTGTTTATAGATATTTAACAATTGTATTCATCTTTTTTTTTTTTTTGTGAAATTTAAGGAGTGAGCTTGAAACATGGCTTCAGGGACTTCTAAAATCGCTAAAGATGTTACTGAAGTAATCTCCAAGATTATGTCTTTCTTCAACTATGTCTTGTCAGTAAATGTTTTTCTTCTAACTATTTTTTTATTATTATTTGGGGCCAGTTAATAGGTAACACTCCATTAGTGTATCTAAACAAAGTAGCTAAAGATTGTGTTGGTCATGTTGCTGCTAAGCTTGAGATGATGGAACCATGCTCTAGCGTCAAAGACAGGTGCTTCCAGAAAGTCTAAAGCTCTGTTTTCGAGTTTATGTTTGTGACAAAAGAAACAAAAACTTGTACTTTGTGTCTTTTTATTTGCAGGATTGGTTATAGTATGATTGCTGATGCAGAAGCTAAAGGTCTAATTAAACCAGGAGAGGTTTGTTTTTTTTTTTTCTTTTTATGGAAGCTATCAGTCAGATTCTTCTTTTGTTAGTTTTTTCGAGATTTCGAATTTGTGTTTTTTTCTTTTAGAGTGTGTTGATTGAGCCAACAAGTGGGAATACTGGAGTTGGTTTAGCATTTACTGCAGCTGCAAAGGGTTATAAGCTTGTTATTACAATGCCAGCTTCAATGAGTGTAGAGAGAAGAATCATTCTCTTAGCTTTTGGAGCTGAGTTGATTCTTACTGATCCGGCTAAAGGTATGAAAGGCGCTGTTGCTAAGGCGGAGGAGATTTTGGCGAAAACACCTAATGGTTACATGCTTCAACAGTTTGAGAATCCTGCCAACCCAAAGGTACTTATATTTTGAGAACGTTATTGGATCGAAATCCAGTTACGTTGACATAATTTTGTGTTCAATTGCAGATCCATTATGAGACCACAGGACCTGAGATATGGAAAGGTTCTGGTGGAAAAGTGGATGGCTTTGTGTCTGGTATTGGTACTGGTGGTACCTTAACAGGTGCTGGGAAGTATCTCAAGGAACAGAACAAAAATATAAAGGTGCATTTTATTTACTTATACAATCAGACTCTTTCTTAGTAAACTCAAAACTGGTCTCATTTGTTTTCTCATCTTTCAGTTGTATGGTGTCGAGCCCGTTGAAAGCCCTATTCTTTCCGGTGGAAAGCCAGGTGTGTTTCATTCTATCTTTTTGTATAAGTATCAAAGTTTTCGATAAGCTTTGGCACACTTTATCTTCTTGTATTTTGCTCACATGCATGTTAGTCTTGAGTGTTCATTATGAGGTCCTTCTAAAGTTTAGTGTTCATCAATGGATATTAAAATTCAGTTGGTTTCAGTCTAACACTTACTCTGTGTTTGATTGGTAAAAATGCTCAGGTCCTCACAAAATTCAAGGAATAGGTGCTGGTTTTATTCCAGGCATTTTGGATGTTGATCTTATAGATGAAGTTGTTCAGGTAAGTTGCTGACTCCAAAACACAATGTATGTAAGTGAACACACATTTCTTCGTTGCCACGCTTATCGTTTTGTAACGCTTACGCAGGTTTCAAGTGAGGAATCCATTGACATGGCAAGGCTTCTTGCTAGGGAAGAGGGTCTGTTAGTAAGTGCTTCACATTTTACCTCATCAGAGTTCCATGTTAAACCAAAAATGTCTTGGTTCAACTTTATCCTCACCATGAAAAAAATGCAGTTTCTTGATCGGGGCGGTTATCATATTTGTCTCCTCCTATGTACTGTAGGTGGGAATCTCATCTGGAGCAGCAGCTGCCGCAGCAATCAAACTTGCAAAGAGGCCAGAAAATGCTGGGAAGCTTATAGTGGTAAGTTTTATCAAAAAGCTAAAGAAGTTTGCTTCTCTCTAGTTTTGTCTAAAACCCAAAAACAGAACTAACATTGAACTCATGGAAGCTCTTTCTTTGGATTCTGATCTTATAATAAGAGATGTGAACTGAATGTTTGTAGGCGGTGTTCCCGAGTTTTGGGGAACGATATCTGTCGACTGTACTGTTCGATGCAGCAAGGAAAGAGGCAGAGACTATGACCTTTGAGCCCTGAATCTGTTCCCCTTTCTTCTTGGTGATACAAATAAATGATGTTCTTTCAACATATATATCTTCAGATTCTGTCTGTATCTTGTCGTTTGTGTGAACTCAAAAGTAGTTTGTCTGCTATTGTGAACAATCCATTTCTAGAAAGTTTCTGGTTTTGAGATTTTGCTCTCTATGTTTGAAATCTTGTGCGACCAAAAACAGTGACAAGAGGACCACAACATCAATACGTTATAAAAGCTTGGTACAATATTGAGTTGATTTGGAATTACAAACAAAAATCTTGGCTTTATCTCTTGTATTTCAGATTAGACAATCAAGAAAGCATATCCAAAAAGGTTTTATCCAATCTACCATCTGATAACATAACAACAACCATCTTTATAGTGGAAGCATCTGCAGCGAACCCACGCATCTTCATTTCTTCGATGAGTTCAACTGAAGAGATTACTCCACTACCTCCGAGATGTGCCCTGATAAGTATATTGTACGTACAATCACTCGGAGCACACCCATCCTCCTTCATTTTCCTAAACAGCATATCGGCTTCAGACAACGAGCCTTTCTTACATAGTCCTCCAATCATTACATTGTATGTCAAGACATCAGGTTTCACTCCTTTGACAGAGAGGCTACAGAACAAACTCCACGCATCATCGACCTTACTAGCATTGCACATCCCGTGAATGATGATATTATAGATGCCAATACCAAGAATCATCCTACTCTTCTGCATTTTTTCAAATATCTCCAATGCTTTTTGTAGTTCTCCATTGTCACACAAACCATCCAGCAAAATGCCATAAGTTACAACACTTGGTGGCACACCACGAGAAACCATCTCTTGGAATAGTTCTTTAGCAACATTAAGTTTTCCCGATTGACAAAACCCTTGGACAAGAGTGTTATAAGTGACTGTATCAGCAACCAATCCTTTCGAAGAAATCTCACAGAAAAGTCTCATACCATTATCAACTCTCTTAGCTTTGCAGTAACTATTTATGAGAATACTATAAGTCACGATATTAGGTTCACATCCCTTGCTAACCATCAGATCCAACATCTGATTAGCCTCGCCTAGCCGATTCTCCTTGCAAAACCCATCAATCAAGGAACTATATGTAATGGTGTCAGGAGCGATACCTCGTGCGACCATTTCATTGTACAACTCCTTAGCCTCTAAAAGCTTCCCCTCTTTCACAAAAACATCAATCAAAGCACTAAATGTGACAACATTAGGGATAATATTCCTTCCGATCATCTCCCTCAACATCTTTGCACCATCATCCCATCTACCGTCGTTACAAAGACCTCCTATAATAGAACTGTAGGCAACAACATCTGCTTTGATCCCTTTCATCTCCATCTCATTAAAAAGACTAAGTGCATCATCGAGGTTCCCATCTTTACAAAGACTATCAATAACAATACTATACTGAACTACACTAGCTTTGATACTTCTTTCTTCCATCTTTCTAAACAAATCCAAAGCCAAAGCAGTGTTCCCTGACTTACACATTCTATTCAAAACCGGTCCATAAGTAATCTCATTAGCTTCACACCCATATTTAACCATCCTATCAATCAAAACCAAAGCTTCAGTCACTCTACCCTTAAGACAAAGTCCATTGATCAACGTGTTAACCGTCACAACATTTGGTCTATACTTCATTTCCACCATCCGATCAACTAAAGCCACAGCTTCAGAAACTCTACCCTCGAGGCAAAACCCGTTAATCAAAGTCGAAAACGTAATCGTATTAGGCTCAAACCCAAATTTCAGAGCTCTCCCAACAACCGAAAAAGCGAAAAGAAGTTTCCTTTTTCGACAAAAGCAATTGATCATAATGTTCATAGTATACATGTTATGTTCAATCCCATTCAAATCCATTTCCTTGCAGAAACCTAACACTAAATCATATTCTTTCCTTCTAGCAACAGCACTAAACAATTTACTGAAATCAATGAGACTTGGTAAAGGACGAGATTGAATCATGGATTCGAAGAGATCAATAGCTTCATTAACCTTAATATCAACAATCCCATTCCTCAATCTCTCTTTATAAGAAACTTTCGCTTCGCTGATACAAGAATAGTGTAATAAAGAAATTCTCAAAGTACCTTTATCAATAATCTGAGTAAAGTTCGAAGCTTTTAATCTCTGTATCATCATCTTCTTCATATGAATCGTTTGTTCCTTTCTCTGAGATTTTTTGAGTTGTGTGAGAGAGACGAAGGAAATAAAATTCCGGTTTGTTAATTCATTATTTAAAACCGGTTCAATTTTTTTATTTAAAGACTAAACCGGTTTTAATTGGGGAAAGTTACGAGTTAAACCAAACCCTTGTTTCTTCTTCTTCTTCTTCTTCTTCATCATCGCTCTCTGCGCCGCGTTTTCGGCATCAGCCTCTGGATTGTTTCCTCTCAAGCGAAGCTTTTTCCGATCTTCATCTTCCTCGTGTGTGGATTCGTTTCTAAAAGTAAGTTTTTTTTTTCTTTTTGTTATTTGTTGGTTTGTGTTTTTTTTTTCTTAGTTCAAGTTGTCTTAAGGTTTGTGTCAATATCGATCTCAAACTTCCTCGATCCCGATCAAGATTCTTTGATGTTAGAATCTTAACCTAGATTAGTTTAGGATACAGTAACCTAGTCATGGAATCGATGTGTCGAGATTTGATATAAGTAGACGTCGAAACCCTAGTTTGGAGAAATGGCCCTAGTAGTTGAAAAGGGATGATCTCTGTTGCCATAGTTTTGAGGTTGGAGTATTATGTAGGAGACAATACACTGTTAGTGAACTCATTTACGTCTACTCTGTGGAATGTGTTGTTGGTTGCTTCTACTTGTATAAGTGGATTTGATACTATGAGAGTGATGGAGTCTGGAGGATATGCTATGTCATTGGTTTGGATGTGGAATGGATGCTGTAGTATTTAGATCTTTTTGAATGTTTTTTGGTTGATAAAGCTAGATGGAAAAGGGCGTGATTGTTCGTTGATTGTATTGATGCGACAAGATGGTTATGGACTGATTGTAGGAAAGATCTTGATCTGGTTAAAAGGCGTACGCAGTTATGCCTCACTATGTTTTGCAGTTTATAGTGTGAGTTTCATATCAGTTTGATGTTGGAGTATAGTGGAGTAGACATTATTACACTATCTCTGTGGAATTTTCTGTGTTACTTGCATAAATGGATTTGATGCTATAAGACTGATGGATATGCTATGTGATTAGGTTGAATAGGTTGAATCCGGATGCAGTAGTATTTACTATTTAGATCCATTTCAAAGGTTTTTTTATATATAATTTTGATGCTGGTTTACTGAGGATCCACAAAAGGGCATGATTGTTCGTATATTGATGCAATATGGTGATGGACTGATTGTAGGATTGATCTTGATCTGATATAAACCTTATGCCACACCATGTTTTGCATTTTTGTAACTTCTGAAAGAATATTGAATTGAGTATGGATCATCTTTGTGGGAGATAGTTTCAGGAACTGCTGTTTTTGTTGTTACTGTACCAACAACAATCTTTAAGTTTTTAGTTCTGTCCGATGCAAAAAATGTTTCTCTGAGTGTTGTTTGAGTTTCTTGATTGATTTGTTCTCTTTTCTTCAACTATGCAAATATCTAGCAATTCCTGATTTCTTGGACCTCACTTTTTTTCTGTACTAGGATCGAAGCAATGGCCAGCAAATCTGGAAGCGGTGGCCTAAGAGAACCGCCGAATGAGCAAGCTGTTTTGAACATGTATGAAGCCAAGAGATCAGAGCTTAGCCAAATCTACTCCAACATAACTGAACTCGAGATGCAAGTGAGCGAACATTCTCTGGTCATTAACGCCATTCAGCCTCTTGACCAATCGAGGAAATGCTTCCGCATGATAGGAGGCGTTCTTGTCGAGAGAACCATCAAAGAGGTACTCCCAGCTGTCCAACGTAACAAGGAAGGGCTTGAAGAGGTTGTGAGGAAGCTATACGAGACATTGGAGAAGAAGAAGAAAGATCTTACAGACTTTGAAGCTATGTATAAGATCAGGATAAGGAAACAAGACGATAACAAGGAAGAAGGGAACAAGAAGGAAGGTAATGCTCAAGGTGTTCTTGTTGGAGCTGCCAGTTCGAGCCAGTAACACTCTATTATTGACGTGTTGTTTTACTGTTGTATCTCTTTTTTGGATCGTATGGTTAAAACCCCTGACCTTTTCTGGAAAAATCAAGATGTTTTGAATGTTACAAAAGACTGGAGAAATGCCATATTTATGTAGATCAGTTGTGTTAGATAAAGGTTTCAACTTTATAACCGGAAAATGACCATTTTTATATACTAACATTATCACTGAACTTTTTTGAACAACAGAACCAAAACAACTTCCTCTCGCCGGATTTTTCATATATCAGCTCTCTCGTTAAGCCTAGCGGCTGCGGTAATAGAAGCCGATACACCACCGGGATGAGTAGACAGATTAGGGTTGTTCCTCAGCTCAGCGCCCACCACTCCCTCTGCGTCCTGCCTCGTTACAGCTTTATCAGCGGTTAACTTACCCGTCGCACCCTAATAAGACGCCATCCGGTTCAAAAACATTTATTATACACTGTTAAAACTAAAAACATTAGACATTGAAAATGTTTTTAAATTTGGGGTTTAACCGCCAAAACATCAATGAGCTTGATTTTATCCTCATCACGGTCTACGGTAGCATTGTGATTCGCTGCGGATTGAGCTGAAGCGGCGATTCCACCAGGAGCAATCACATTAGTGCCAGAAGCTCTAACCTCAGCCGCTTGAATCGCTGCTGCGTCGCTTTGATCTACCGGTTTGTTTCCAGCGGTTTGCACAGTTGCTTCCAATGCTTCTCCAATTGTGATCGCACTTTGCAAACTCAATCCCACCGCTTCTGCTTCCGTAGCTGCAGCAGTAGCCACCGGTCTCGGCTCAACGTATTGTCCAACGACCTGTGACAAAGAAATCTTCATCATTACCTATAGATAAATGATTGTAAGAAAAAAATTTGTAATTTAGGAAACGAGTTGCGACCTGTCCACCGACGAATTCTGTTGTGACACGTGCACCAGGGACGTCAGTTTGCGCCACCGTGACACCTCGTTCGGCGGCCAGGTCAGTTGTGTCACCTGGTTGGACAAAGCCACCGCGTTTGTTGGCAGTGGCTGCAGACTGCATGACGGCAGCTGCACCGCCTTTTTGAGTGTGGCCAAACACCCGTGTCTCCGCGGCTTGCATCATGTTTGCATCCTCAGGCGCTATAGGCTTATCAGCGAGTTCACCGGAGACTTCAAAAACGTCGCCGTATTTGACTGGCTCTTGTGGCCGCTTTGGTTGGTCTTCTTGACTCATCCCTCTGTTTTGTTATGTTCTGTTTTGTGTTGCAAACTAACAACAACTCCTAGAGAGATACAGCATATTAAAGAGAGGTGCATGAGTCATGAGTGTGAGACTAACATTATGAGATTTTGACACTTGTTGACTAAGACACACGTGTTAGTTTCCAAGTTTATAGCAAAATGATGATTCAGACCGACTGAGATAGGGTTTTGTCATTTAATATTACCAACATTGGACACGTTTCAATATTAAGACAACAAAACAACATGAACATCTATGAAGCCATGAGATCAGAGCTAAGAAACCTACTCTAACATAACCGAACTCGAGTTCCAAGTGAGCCAACACTCTATGGTCATCAACGCCAGTCAGCCTCTCGATCAATCAAAGAAATGTTTTCGCATGATAAGAGGAGGCGTTCTGGTAGAAAGAACCATCAAAGAGGTACTCCCATCAGTGCAACGCAACAAGTGCTCGAAGAGGTTGTGAAGAAGCTATATATACGAGACACTCACACTGGACACTGGACAAGAAGAGAAATGATCTTACAGGATTTGAAGCTAAGTATAAGATCAGGACAAGGAAGAAAGAAGGTAAAATCAAGGTCTTTTTGTTGGAGCTGCCAGTTTGAGCCAGCAAAAGATCTCTGTTATATTTTTTTACTGTTTGTATCTGTTTTGTGGTTTTTTGTTAAAGCTCAGATGTTTTGAAATGTTACAAAAACATTAGACTGGAGGATTCCCATTTATTATATAGATCAGTTGTGTTATATTTTATTATGAATCATTAGTTCTGAGCAAATCAGCTAAGGAATGGCTTTTAACTTCAAACTAGAAAGTCCCCATTTTTCCATTCTAACATCATCGTTGAAGTTTTTTAAACATAAAGAAACAAAACAAGAACAAAAGCTAGGCGATTTTATATATCACAAGCTTTCTAAACACCGTCCTCCCCTTGCCGGATTTTCACATATCAGCCCAAGTCACCATTTTTCCTATCATTAACACTATTACTGAACTTTTTGTAACAACAGGACCAAAAGCTAGACAGATTTTACATCACAAGTTTCCTAAGTTGTGAGACAAGCAAACAAACAAACACAATCATCCTCCTCTTGCGGGATTTTTCATGTCATATATCGACTCTCTCGTTAAGCCTAGCAGCGACGGTAAGAGAAGCCGCTACACCACCAGGGTGAGTACACAATTTAGGGTTATTCCTCATCTCGGCGCTCACCACTCCCTCTGCATCCTCCCTCGTCACAGCTCTATCTGCCGATAACTTCCCCGCCGCACCCTAATTAATCCATCCCGTTCGAAAACATTTAAACACTACTGTTCAAGAAATACATAAAACATTGATGAAAATGTTTTGAAAATTAGGGTTTAACCGTTAAAACATCACTAAGCTTGATTTTCCTCTCGTCACGATCTACGGTAGCGTTGTGATCCGCTGCGGATTGAGCTGAAGCGGCGACTCCTGCTAGAGCAATGACGTTGGTACCGGAAGCTCTCATCTCTGCCGCTTGAATCGCTGCTGCGTCGCTTTGATCCACCGGTTTGTTTCCAGCGGTCTTCACGGTCGCTTCTAATGCTTCTCCAATCGTTATAGTACTTTGCAAAGCTTCTTCGTCCGTCCGTGCTGCAGCGACTATGCGCCTCGGTTCAACATGTTGTCCGACCACCTAAAGCTTCACCATTTTTTTTTTTTGAAAGAATGTAAAATTTATTCAACCAAAAACTTTGTTTACAATGAATGCATCTTTAAGTAGAGTGTTTATATGAGACCACAAAAAATAGTTTAGTCAGAACCGAAATGTTGCTTAGAAATCTTTAAGCTCTTGCCAAATTTCTCGAGCCAAACCAAATTTGCAGACCGTCCTTGAACTTAGAGTTAGCTTGTCGCGTAAAGCAGTGAAGTTGATTACGCACCTGCCGATCAATGAATTTGTTAAGCTTCTCCGGAGGAGTCGGGATATCGCCATGCCTTCGACAGTTCCGTTCACGCCAAATAGAGTAAACTGAAGCTTGGAAGACATACCTAAGGATAAATCTCGTAGTGGAAGTATATGTGGACCCAGAGAGCATCAAGAGGAGATCATCATAACTAGTAGTGTATCGATTCTGCAGAATTTGTTGGGTAAGATCTGCCCAAACACTTGAGGAATACCGACACTCAAAAAACAAGTGGTTCCGAGATTCTGTAGGCGCGTTGCAGAACACACATGTAGAAGAGGCTCCCACATTCCAAGCTCGCATTCGATCACCCGTAGTGAGGCGGTTATGAGTGGCCAGCCAAACGAGAAAAGAGTATTTAGGAGTAGCGTTGGAGAACCACACTCCCTTATACCAATCAGTCACTTGGCCCCCACGTCGGGTTTGTTCCCATGTAGCTTTCGTAGAGAATTTTTGTTTGAACTGCCCATTAGAACCTCTCCATAAAACTACGTCCATCTCAGAAGATCGAACCCTCCCTCTGTATTTATCTAACTCGTCCTCAATGTTGTTGAGTATCTCAGTTCGATGTCGTCTTCTTCTATGAGACACTACTGCATTTGCAACCGTGTCTGTTGACTTGATACCCATGTCTATAAATCCACGTTCACCAAGAATAGAATATAGTTGGCCTAGCTTACTCCAAGTATCAAACCAAAAAGAAGTATGTTCTCCGCTCTTCACCTCTATTTGACAAAACACCCGTGCTTCAGTTCTATATTTGAGAATTTTACGCCACATCCATGAACCTGCACTAGTATTTTCCTTTATTGACCAGAAGGATCCAGAGCGAATTAACTGCCTCTGAACCCAATTTACCCACAGAGAATGTTTTGCTGAGACAATTCGCCATATAAGCTTGAAACAGCTCACTTTATTTGCTTCAACAATAGATTTTAGTCCTAAACCACCTTCTCTCTTCGGCCGACATACTTCGCACCAAGCAACCTTTGCTTTCCGGTTGGATAGATCCGGGCCAGACCATAAAAAAGCAGAGCATATACTCTCAATTTCTCTGATGCAAGCGCGAGGCAAACGAAACGCCGAGATCCAAAAGTTTGTAAGACTAGAGATTACCGAGGTCAGAAGTTGTAGCCTCCCCGCATACGATAAGAATCTGTTTTTCCATGAGCTTATTCGTAACCTGATCTTCTCTAGTAACGGCATACAATCTACCAAAGACATCCGCTTCGAAAGCAAAGGCAAACCTAAGTAGCGGACAGGTAAGACCCCCGTATCAAAAGGGAATCTAGTCAAAAGTTCAACACGGTTTTGGTCTGGAACCCCTGCCAAAAAAAGAGTGGACTTCTCCAAGCTTATTGTTAGACCAGATGCTGCAGCAAACTCCTTAAAAACCTCCAGTATCCCCTCCATCGATCTAGCTTTACCATCCGCGAAGACCATGATGTCATCGGCAAAACACAGATGTGTTAGCTTCATATTTTTGCAATTTGGATGGTAGCCAAACTTCCTCTGGTCTGCAGCTCTATTTAACATCATGGACAGAACATTCATACAAATAACGAACAAATAGGGTGAGAGGGAGCAGCCCTGTCTAAGACCCCTTTCACTCCGGAAAAAACCCGCTAATTCACCATTTACTTGAATAGAGAAGGAGGCGGTAGAGACACAAAGTTTAATCCAGTGGATGAACCTTTCCGGGAAGTTCAAAGCCGAGAGAGTATTCAGCAGAAAAGGCCATTGGACTGAGTCAAAAGCTTTGGAAATGTCGATCTTCATTGCGCATCGGGAAGAGATGCTTTCTCTATGGTAGTCCTTCACTAGCTCAGTTGCTAAAAGCAAATTTTCCATCAATAGCCTGTCTTTGATGAACGCTGACTGGTTTGGGGCTATGAAATTAGGCAGAATACGCTTCAACCGGTTTGCCAGGATCTTGGAGATAGCTTTATAAATGACATTACAGCAAGAGATGGGCCTATAATCCTTCATCTCCTTTGCATCAGTTTTCTTTGGAATCAAAGCAAGAATTGTAGTATTCAAACCCTTTGGAAGAAAACCGTAAGTGAAGAAAGATTGAACAGCTAGAGTTAGCTCTTTACCAACAATTCCCCAAGCTTCTTTAAAAAATTCAACCGTGAACCCGTCAGGTCCTGGTGATTTATTCACTGGCATTGAAAAAATGACTCTTTTCACTTCTGTTTCAGAAACAGCAGAACAAAGATCCTCCTGTTGTGAATCAGAGCATCGAAAACTTAACAGCTCTTGTAGCATCTCCACCGATATCCCAGTAAAGTCTGCAGGCTGCAAGGTTAACAGGTTTGAGAAGAAACGAACAGCTTCTGCTTTGATGTCCTCTTGACTAGTGAGCCGTGTACCCTCATGGTTTGTAACCTCATGGATCGCGTTTAGAGAGTGCCTTTCTTGAATCGCATTGTAAAAGAACTTGTTGTTTTTATCCCCCACTTGCATCCAATGAAGCTTAGATCTTTGTGTTAAGAACTTCTCTTCTATATCCGCCACCTTCTCCCATCTCTCATAAGCTTTTGATTCAGCACCAATCGCTTGTGAGCTCGGGTGAGACAGAGTAGCAAGTTGTTTCGCACATAGATCATCATAGGCCTCTGAAGAGCGTTTAGATATATCTGATAACTTGTTTCTACCAAGTTCCCTTAGTGTCGGTTTTAGCTCTTTCAACTTTTTGGAAAACCGAAATAATGTTGAAGTAGAAGGAAATAGCTCAGTAGTTCCTTGCCAATAGTCATCCACTCTCTGTAAAAACTCAGGATATGTGGCTAGTACATTCGCAAATTTAAACGGACCCTTTGGCTTGGATATTTCTGATTTCAGGTGAATAATGCCTCTAAGGTGATCAGAGCACCCTCCCGAGTCCATACTACAGTAGGACTGTGGGAACGATAGCTGCCATTCCGCATTATTGAGGACTCTATCCAGTTTCTTACAAATCAAACCCTCCTCTCTCTTGTTGCACCAAGTGAACAGCGAGCCATGAGTTCGACAATCCAGGAGAGAACAGTTACGGACCACATCCTGAAAATCACGCATACCCGAAGTAACAAACGAAGATATGTCAGATCTTGAATGCTCCTCTAGCTCCAGAATTTCATTATAGTCTCCAAATAAAATCCATGGTTTCCTATTCAAAGTTGCAATATTACGCTGACGAGAAATATCAGTCCATAACTCCTTTCGATCTTCTGCAAAATTAAAAGCATAAATGAAAGAACCGAGAAACTCCACATCCAAGTTCTCCACCTGAACTAGACATGAGATCATCTGGCTACTCTTAAAGACAACCTGCATAGTAACCTCTTTACTCCAAACAACCCAGATTCGTCCCAACCGGTTGAATTCATAATTTGATACCATACTCCAATCGTTAAAAACTTTTTTCCCAATCCGAGACGCTTTCCTCTCCTTTACACGCGTTTCCAACAGACAACCAAACTTCAAAGAATTATTTTTTATCCAATCTCGGATTACCTGATGCTTACTTGACTTGTTAAAACCTCTAATGTTCCAGAAAAAACCAGACATTAATGCTTTCGTCTAGAATTCTTTTTGCTGAAAGTGCTTGGATTAGAGTCCACAGCTTTTTGAGAAGAATCCGACAAGAACTTATGAGCATTTTTCGAGAAGCGAGGCAGTGACGCTCTCGACGGTGCTCCTTCCTTTCCATTCTTAACTATCTGCGTATTCTCAGACGTTCCAACTGAAACCAATGGTAACACTGTTGCAACCTCTGAACTTTTATTTCTTGTCGCTATTCCCTCGTCCT